TGGCTGGTTTGGCTCAGTGGATGGAGCATCCGCCTGTGGACTGAAGGGTCCCGGGTTCAATTCCGGCGGGGGCGGGGCGGGGCGGGGCGCATGGCTGGGTTGTGGGCTCGTTCCCCATTGCGGGTGTGCAGGAGGCAGCCAATCGATGATTCTCTCTCATCATTGATGTTTCTATCTATCTCCCCCCTCCTTTCCTCTCTGAAATCAATTAAAAATTTTTTTAAAAAAATAAAACCACATTAAACTCACAAAGCACAAAATAGATGTAATTGTTGATATGACAAAGTTTTTTATTTAAACCAGGTTCATCACTGGTGTCTGTGAAAGGGGTGCCCTGGGAACCACAAGTCATTTGTCTGCACAATAAACTACTCAGCAGATATAGAGGGACAGCTAGTAGGCGTTTTCCATCAAGGCTCCAAACACAGAGTAGGTGCTTGGTACACACCCGCCGAATGCAATCAGCTGCCAACGATCGGGGGCATTAACCGAATGAAAATGAGCAGAGAAGCAGGGCGAGTCACCGAAGGCCTGTCTGCTCACGTTCCAGGAGCCCATCTGGAATGAAGGTGAGGTCTGCCGCATCAGCGTGGTGCACTCACATGGCTCCTCGTTGCCAAGCCGTGTGTGTGCACATGTGTGTGCGTGTGAGTGTATGAATGTGTGTGGTCCCAGCTTCTCTCAATGGATGGAATCCTCTGGAGAGTTCACATGGCAAACTAAGGCAGGTGGGAGACTCCGATGGGCGGAGCTGACGCTGGCAACACTCTACCTGCAGAAGCAGGGGCTGAAGCACCTGAGGCCGTGAAGTTGATCCTCGATGTCTGTGTGACCGACCCCCACCACCAAACCACCACAAACCAGCTTCTCTCTCTCTCTCTCTCTCTCTCATTTGTTTTTTTTAAATTCTTTTCCAATCACCTCTCTGTCAGGGGATGCACTTGCCTCTCTGAGCTTCTGTCTCCTCACTTGTGACATTAAGATAGGAATCAGAAGAGGGCGGTCACAGCCCGTGAAAGTGTCCCCAGTTTCTCATCCTCTGCTCTAAGCCTGCTCGGGGATACAGGAACTTAAGGTTCTGATTGGGGAACGGTGAGGGCTGGCTACCTTCCCTCCCCAAAGAAACAAGGGTTGAGCCCTGACCGGTTTGGCTCAGTGGTTAGAGCGTCAACCCGTGAAGGGTTGCAGGTTCAAGTCCTGGTCAAGAGCAGGTACCTCCGCTGCAGGATCCCCAACCCCAGTAGAGGCCCATGTGGGAGGCAGCCAATCAATGTGTCTCTCTCACACCGATGTTTCTCTCTCTCTCTCTCTCTCTCTCTCTCTCCTCTCCCCCCTTCCTTCCACTCTCTCTGGAAATCAATGGGAAAAATATCCTAGGCGAGGATTAAAGAAATAAATAATTGCCGAAACCGGTTTGGCTCAGTGGATAGAGCGTCGGCCTGCGGACTGAAAGGTCCCAGGTTCGATTCCGGTCGAGGGCATGTGCCTGGGTTGCGGGCACATCCCCGGTGGGAGATGTGCAGGAGGCAGCTGATCGATGTTTCTCTCTCATCGATGTTTCTAACTCTCTATCTCTCTCCCTTCCTCTCTGTAAAAAATCAATAAAATATATATTTAAAAAAAAAAGAAAGAAATAATTTTTTAAAGAGGAAGAAAAAGGTTTAAAGATTTAAAAAAGAAGAAGAAAGAAACGAGGGCTGAGAGGAAACCACACCTCCCCTGTAGCTGCAGCCTAAACCGGGGCTCTGGCAGGAGCCAGACCACTGAGGGCCCAGAGCCATGCGGGCGAAGGTCTCCCTTCTGGTGTGGGGCTGCCTGGGCATCTGGGGTAGGAATGGCGGGGGCCCTTTCTGGGCACCAAAGAGAACTGGGCAGAGGCAGATGGGAACCGTAGAACCCAGAAGGGCCTGGAAGAGGTCTGAGGACAGGGTTGATAGATTGAGGCCAAGAGGTGGATGAGGGTCCTCAGGGCTCTCCAGGCCCTGTTCCCAAGGAGATCGTTTCCTTAGCAACCAGGGCTTCTGGGAGCACTGTGGGCCCTAGC